TCGTGCCCCCCCCGCCACACACACACACACACACACACACACAAAGGGGGGGATATGAACTGGCCTGCCTAGCCAAAGTGGATATGTTTACAGTTTTTCATAGGTTTGGAAGGTTATCTAATAATATGCAAATAAAAAATCTAAAATTCAGTTTGCAGCATAATTTTAGAAATAAAATTTAAAATGTGGTTTTATTTCAAGACATAGTCATCTAAGTAGGTCAGACAGTTACAAAAGAAACAAAAGGACAAAGTGTTTCTGTAAAGACTTTCAGATTTCAGGCTGATTCCAGTGCAACACTGCTGCTTTTCATCCATTTGACGGTGATATCTGCAGTCTCAGTGGAATCACAGATAATTCACATTTAACTGCTGTTTGTTTACATATTTTTATTTTAAATTCTCAATGTATATTTATAGGAAAACAATTTACTGAATAATAATCTAACTGGGTCTGTGTACCAGCAGCTGGCCACTAAGCTGTAAACTAGTATTTTTATGGATTTACAGTGAAGTGAATGTGAAAGTGGTCAAAGGAAAAGAACCCAAAACGACACAGACACATTGCTGAATGTGCAAGCTGAACTGCCACAGATGAATTATACTTCGTCCACAGACCCCCACAGAAGTCACACCTGTGCAGAACAAAGACAGTTAATGGTGGACAACAGTGGAGGTCTATGGCACAGAGCGATGAGCTGGACCAGGGTCGGGACTCACACACATCACAGTGAGGACATCACGTTCACTGGTGCTGCTGGTCTCTGGACGAGGTTGGTGGGGGTGCCAACAACAGAAAGAATCACCTTTAGTCCAAACTGTGGCTGGAGTTTCACTGTTCACACTTCACAGGTTCATAGCAGTGGTGTTACCAGGAATAATGTCCCATGTGTCTGAGGATGAACTGAAGTTTGTTGCTTTTAATGTCTCAGGGTTTTTTAAATGTTGTCTACATGTCCCCGCGACCCGGCCCCGGATAAGCGGAAGAAAATGGATGGATGGATGGTCTACATGTTTTTGTATGTTAATGAAAAACTGTAAATAAAGTTCTTTTTAAAATTCAAATCTCTCTCTTGTTGCCATGGCAATGCTGGTCAGCAGCTCAGCAGTGGGAAAAAGTCTCTCTCTCTCTCTCTCTCTCTCCACACCGTCTATTTCTCCCTCATTCCCCCCTTGTTGTGATAAACAAGCCTCAGGACCCTATGACCCCCCTTCCCCCCAGAACCACTTCACTCTTTTAACTGGGAAGCAGTTAATGATTGGGATGTGTGGTGGGTTACATAATGGGCTCCTATCCTTTTTTTTGAGAAGGGGGGGGGGGGTAGCTGGAGAGGGTAGCTGGAGAGGGTGATTGTGGTCTTTTGTTGCTGTGTTTCAGGGTTTGTTTGGCTCCAGTCATCCAGAGAATCAACCTCCAATGCTGTTAACCATTTCCGTTCAGCTTCAGATCTGGACTCTGGTTCCAGAGCCCCAACTCTGGGGATTTGATTTGATTTGATTTTGATTTGATTTGATTTATTCTTTCAAGCATATAAAACAGTTGATATAACAACACACATTTTTACACACAATCCAATATCAATTTGCTTATACCTAATACATGTTTGAATGGAGTAGGAAGAAGTCAGACTTATCCAGTCCTACCCCATGACATCATCTTACCATCATTGGTTTGCAAGCAATAAATGATTCACTTCTACCCACACACATATTATACTAAAAAAACAGTG